AAGTTTAAGAAAAATATGTTCTTCAGATCTCGAGTCCTCTTAGATGACGAAATTTGTGGCACTTCCAAGCTTATAGCGCCGAAAAACTAGCGACGCATGGCATTGTGCCATAAGGCAATAAGTTAGTGAAACTTTCCTCACTGAAACTTACATTTTATAAAGAGCTTTTAAAATTTTTGAAAAATGAAAAAAGTTGAATTTAAAAAAACCTTTTTTTATATTTTGAAATTTTTGAAAATTATAACTTTTATTTATTATTAAAATTAAAATTTATTTAAATGATTCGATTCCTATTGATAACGAGGCGTGCTGATTAGTTATTGGCCAAGGCAGGTCCAACTGTACAAAAATACGAGCCAAAATGCCAAAATGCCAAAAATGATAATTCAGGGACCGATTCTGCCGCAATGTTATGATAAGTTCATGTTATGAAGAATTTTCCATAGTAATATAGACAAAAGTTATGCGGTTGGTGTTCAGTCAGGCGCAATTTCTCAGGTTTTCTCATACAAAACATAACCTAAAAGCCGCACAAATGTCAAAAAAACGATGTTAGATAAGTGTGTGTTTCTGATTCCTCTTAGGTAAGATACGAGTGACGTTGCAGTTTATGTTTAAAACGCCGGAATGAACAACAAATATATGATATATTGACAGCATTCAGTATGATTCATTCGCATAATGTATGGGGGAGTCGGAGCGTAACATAGCCATGTCGTAACATTTCTCTGTTATGCGCAGAATCGGTCCATCAGTTTGAGAACCGAACGTCCAATATCATTCGAAACTAGCTGTAAGTGGAATTCTGTCTTAAGGCAATTAGGGCATCGTGCCTTGAGGCAATTGCTGGAACTTCCCGTACCAAAATTATATTATTTTTTTAAAAACGATTAACATTTTTGAAAAAAAATTACTTCGGAAAAATAAGATTTTTGACAAACAATTAGACAAAAAATTACTTTTTTTTGAAAAAAAAAATTTTTTTAAATTTTTTTTTTTTTTTTTTTTTTTTTTTTTAAAAATGTTTTCTTTATTTTGACATATTTTGAAAGATCTAACTTTTTTCAAAGCAATCGTACTGCTTTAACTGCATAAAGACAAAATATCAAACCGCGTAAGCGCCGCGTCGACGTCTAACGCGTAAACATTGGTACGGAACCCATAGGAATGTAAACCAAAATTATACTCATTGTTAAAATCTCTATAAAATATCTGATAATTTGATGTGCATATGTCTAATGATCATTTTTGACCGCCAAATGGCATTTTTTTTTACTTTTTTCATTAGATCTTCGAAACCGCTAGACCTGCCTTTATGAAAATTTGATCGGTTCTTCCCCTTGTCAATACAAGTAATCTGTTTTTTGAATTATTAAAATCGAACGCTCCGTTCTCTTAAAAACTGGGTTACCGTTTTCGGCACTTTTTGCCCCGTATCTTCGGAACGGCTAGACCTGACTTCGCCAAAAACTAATCAGCACGTCTCCTTATCAATACGAATCGAATGTTTTTTGAATTATTCAAATCGGTTGATCGGTGTTCCTGAAATCATCGACGAAAATTTGTATCCGCACATACATACACACACGCACACACACACACACACACACACACACATACATCCATTTTTTCTAAGGTATGCCAAAATATTCAGAAACCTTTGAAACGTCGAGAAAAGCAAAAATTTTCATTTTCGATTTTTTTGCGATTACTATAACTTGCCCTACGGGAAGTTAAAAATTTACATGTATAGACAAAATAAACAACTGCTTAAATTTGTGGGAGGCAGGTCTAGCGGTTTCAGTGATCCAATAAAAAAAAATGAAAAAGAAACATTGGCAGTCAAAAGTGATCATTAAACATATGCACATTAAATTATCAGATATTTTAATAATAAGTATACATTTTGTTCACATTTTTATGGGTTCTGTAACATTATTTATCCGTTATAATGGCGACGCGGCGCTTACGCGCTTCTATATTTTGTCTCTAAGCAGCTAAAGCAGCGCGTTAAAAAAAGTTCAAAATTTTCAAAATATAGAAAAACTCAAAATTTTCAAAAAAGTAAAATTTTTTCAAAGTTTTCAAAAAAATTTATATATTGTTTACTTTTAATTTTCGGTACGGTATGTTCCTGCAATTTGCCTTAAGGCACGATGCCAAGCACCACTATAGTATGTAATGCGCAATAAATTTTCTGCAATCAAATAGTTATTTTAATTTTAGAAACACCGATATTGTAAAACTATTTAAGTCAACATTCAGGGATAGGGCGACATTTTTGTCAGTGCCCCAGGGCGCCAAATTTCTAAATCCGGCCGGCGCATGGATCAACCGATTTGAATTAATGGTTCAAAAAAACTTTCGATTCCTATTAATAGGCAGATTTGCTGATTAGTTTTTGGCAAAGGCAGGTCCAGCCGTTACGGAGATACAGAGCAAAGAGTGCAGAAAATAGAAATCGCGTTTTTGAGAGAACGGTGCATCCGATTTGAATGCTCTAAAAAGCATTCAATTATTAGTGATTGGGAGAAGTGGTTAGGGGCCGTTCAAGTATTACGTAAGCACTAAAGGGGGGCGGGGGTATTATTGATTTGCTCATTTTAGGTAAGAACTTTGCTTTGGTTAAGAATATGTTTCATTTTTCTATTTTGAAAAATTGCAATCTATGTAGCCAATAGCTGAAGATTTATATGCATAACGAATATACTCGTCTTGGGTATGGGTAATTTTTATTAAAAAATCATTTCACCAGTTACAGACGAATATACTCGAGTATTTTCATCTGTGACTGGTGAAATGATTTTTTAATAAAAATTACCCATAGCAAATACTATTTAAGAAAAAAATAATCAGATCCTTTTCAAATAAACCAATTTTTTAAAGCACTTGTAGAGTACAAATGATTTTATACTTTGGTCTTCTTCGCATGGAAGCATTGCATAAAATCTAATCTAAAAATAAAATGAAAGTAAAACTAACTGAATGTAAAAATAATTCAAGTTGCAATATATTTTAAATTTACATTAATAATAACCTTCACAAAAATTACAGACAATCCAGAGCAACAAAACTGAATTCGGGACAAATACTGTTTCAAGAAAAATCTGGGACACAATTTTGTTTTTTCATTGACATAATATTATTATGTTCACATCTCACTCAGGCAGAGATGCCTGGTATGAGAGATTATGAAAAAAAAAATTATAAATAGTCTATACATGGATATTATGTAAATCCATTTCATTGTATATTTATTTATCCTTGCATTTAGTCAGCTATTCATCATCAATCTTTTTTATCTTCAATTTCTACATAATATTTTTTTAATTTTCTACTTACTTTTTTTTATACTTTTGAAATTATTGCAATCACAAGTCATATTTATATCGCTCACAAATTCATTATAAATGTTTGTTGCGCTTCATATAACAATTTCTCTCATTTTGTTTTTTCTATTGTATTCAATGTGAATTTTTTTGTGCTGTCTTGTATAATGTTCATGTATATCATTGATTTATGTCTATTATTGTACTCGTTTTTATTCTGTTATATATAATATTTTGTATTAATTTGCATTTCTCTAGTTTAATTATATTATTTATTGGGTGATTATTTGTTTCAATCTGTAAGTATTTGGTGGGTGTTAAATGTGGAATATTATATGTTATTTTTAACTTATAGCAATTAATTCCATTAATATTATAAAATCTGGCCATAACTCCGTCCTATGAATGTGATTTCAGTATCACTGCTTTCGTGTTCTATATTCATCTTGTCCATATCAGATTATCACTTAGGTATATAGATCTCAAATATAATATCAAGTGAAAATAGCCTTTCATGTTCTTGGTGCAACATGTATGAATTCATATCACTATTAGTGATATATCCAATATTATCTCTTTAGAAAGAGAATGATCAATACACCGCAACAGCTTATAGAACACATATTTCTGATTGCTGTTCAATTTTCTAGAAGTTTTGTTTGTAAATTTTTAAAATAAATTAGGATATGTTTCTCTACCATTGAATGAAAACGTTAATTTCATCTTCCCAGTTTAAATTTCAAGCCTTGTGTTGAGTATAACAAATTTTCTTTATAAATGAAAATTGAAGTTAATAAAGCAGTCGATTTAAATGTAACAAACTATTAAAATATAAATAATAAATTTTGTTTATATAAGAATTGTTTACTGCAATATTTTCATCTTAATGTAGAAATAATCTTAAAGATTGTCTAAAATGTCTAAATCTAAATATCTAACTGACTAAAATGGTATTTGTATAAGAATATCTCTTCAAATAATTCTTAATTAAAACATTTTAAACACATAAAGTGAAATGATAAAAAATTATAATTTTGTGAAATTATTACCCTTCCTGAATATCACAGCCAACAAATTTTATTCATTTAACCTATTCATCGTGTTTAATATTCATCATTAATTAGTTCGACATAAATTTAAATATTTAAGAATTTTCAATTGAAGTAGGTTACTCAATTTTAATCCAATAAAGCAAGCAAGATTGATATAAAATGATTTTAAATGCCATTAATCAATATTTTCTGTTCAGAATATTATTAATCCATCAAGGACTATATAAAAACTTAAAATCTAAGGCAGGTATTGTTAAAATCATCAAATTGATAGTTTGTTAGTAGTAAAAATTGATGAATAAATATTACTTATGAACTCAATTGCATTAGACATTTTACAATACAAAGAAAATTAATTCAAAGAAATACTAATAAAACAAACATGTGTCCTAATATTCGACATGTCTGTGTACTTTTCAAAATCTTTAAAACTCCAGAAATAATGATATTAATATAAAACTAAAATGAACCATTTTATAAAATTTTATAATCAAATCAATACTATAAATTTATAATAATATCAATAACAAAAGTTATTTTATAGTAGTCATAATATACTTTGCATTAATAATTCATACACACACACACACATTACTTGTCTTTTCAATTCCAATTTGTTCTTATTCTCGTCCTTGTTCAAATGTCGATGTTCAATGTTGTATTAAGTATTCTATTGTGATTTTAGTATTGGATTTCTTAACATTAAAGCAGTTTCTGATGATATTATTGGCAACGCATTGACACAATGATAATTTATTAAATGTGAAATACTTTCAAACATTCTATCTCTGGTGCGAACCTGAAAATGTAAAATTAAATAATTATTAACATAATGACGCCTATTGTTTAAATTATTATCATTTGGAAAATATATTCTGCTTGTCAGCAAATTTAATATGGTACTACTACTACCATACAACAGTAAACTTTTACATTTATATAAAATAATTCTAAGTATAAAATATCATACATACCACTCCTTTAGGATCAATAAGTAATAAATGCTTCTTATTAACTCCTTGAATACCAGTCAGCACATATTGTCCAGGACTTGCTCGTGACTCTCGAACTAGAAAATCTCCATCAGTTTTTACCAAACCCTCAGCAACAACTCTACTGATGGGACCATGAAACCAATTTTCTTTTAAAAGTTCATTTCTTTGTGATTCTGCTGTTAATGGTTGTATTGGCCAATCAGAGAGAACAGCGGGCTGAAATGGCTCTGTAAAGTAATTATCAAAATAATAAAAATAATTCAAATTAATTATGTATACAGACACCATATAATTTTGCTACAGTCGGTAAGTCAAATCAATCAATATTCAAAAGTATTTTAAATAACTATAAAAGTAAAAAGTTTCTACAAAATGATATAAATAACAAACATACGCATATCAAATACATCCTTGGTAATCCCTGTATCAATATTAAGATCATTAACATAATTATGCTCAATAGGTTTGCAGCACGTAGGAGTGTTTAAGTCAATTAGATTATTTACACTTATTGGCTGGAAGAAAAAAATATATAATAATTACACCTATTGGTTAATAAAATTTATTTTTTAATATATTAATTCCATTTCAAAAATTACCCTATTACTGGATAAATTGCTTGTTTGTTCAGCAGTTTTTGGAAGACTGGGTAGTGCCATATCAGGTGGTACTTTGTTTGGCAAATCATTATAATAATCACGATCATGCTCCATACAGTGTATCGTTCTAGATGCAAAAAATCTAAATTACAACACAATTCACAAAGATATAAATATAATAGAAATGCCTTTACGCTGAAGGTTCTATCATGAATTCTTGAAATCTCAGCTCAAATGCCTGTGCTATTGTAGCTATTACATCCTGAGCCAAACCACCTCCGCACTCCAGCACGTAGCAAGCACGGTAATTGTTCAAGTTTTTAGCCACATATGCAACAAAATCTAATGTTTCCTAAAAGAAGGTGAAAATGAAAAACGTAATTTTATTTTTGCAGAATATTTGTTTGTAATTTAATTAAAACTAAAAAGTCAATTAAACAAATGCTCTTTGCTTCCAACTTAAAATACATTGGCATAAAAGAGAAAGAAAAAGTCCAGTCATTTCTCATTAATTCAGCAGGTTTAAACCTTATATATCAAATTCTATGAGCCTCAATATATAAAAAAAAAATTAGTATATTTTTATAATCGATTGAATTGAACATTCTATAAAGCAAGATTAAATTCATAAGATTAATAGCATAGAAACGCCTTTCACTTTTATGTATAACTAGCAATGCCTGATAAGGTGTTGTCTTATACCTATAAATAAAAATCCAACAAAAATGTGATTCTGTTGCATCTCGTTATTAATATTGATTGATTGTTGAGCTGTATTAGGAGCATCATCAAAAAAATCCCATTTAGCATCCTAATATATAATATAAGCTTACAAGTGTATCAGTATTTTTTGACTTTCAGTAAATATACTGTGCAAACCAAACAACATACATCACAGCACATATGGCATACCAAACAATTAACTATTGAAATATGCTCAGAGTTATTACCTAAATATAGAAATATGTTGATTTACTTTTTTTTTAAATTTTTTACCTGACCCCTTTTACCCCATAGGGTGCAAACACGCCAAATGTCTAATTTTCAATTATAAAGGATTTTCCTAAATAAAAACTACATTAAAACTCAATGTCAAATACAAATTTCATGGGTCCATTTTTACAAAGATTATACCTAAATATTCAACACCATAGTTGGAATAACTACTAATACACATTTTTATTTAGTATCATCTAATTTTTTACACCTTTGTCAGTGTATGAGTTCTGTTGATCCTTTTTACCCCAGTCACATGTAATCTTTAATAGAGGTTATATAAAAAAATCTGTTAAATTAAGATAAAAATAACATATAAATGCATATTATAAAACTTATGGTCTTCCGTGGCGTTACAGGTTAACCAGCACACAGACCAACCCTAGGGCAGTACTACCCATCTTTTAACAATTAAATAATGCATAAATTATATTTAAGCGTCATAAATTAATGTGGTCCTTTTCACCCGCGGACCTTTGAGCTCCACTCTACCATTTATTTATATGAATTGTTATATTTATATTTACTTTTTAATTAAGCAGTATCTATATTATATATACATATTATATAATTAACTGTGAGTCTAGTAAAAAAAAATAAAGAAAATGTCCCCAAAGAAATTCAAAAGAGTGTTAGAGGTGATCATCATGTAATAAAAATAAAAAAATAAAAAAAAGTAATAAAAAATGAAGGTTTTTATTAATTTTAAAAAATCTGTATTGAAATTCAGTGGAGAACGTTCAAAAAAAGATTATAAATATCCAGTTATTAATCAGGTTGGAAAGTGTAGCAGAAATGTGAAAATTGAGGATTTTATAAAAAGTCCATAAAAAAAAATATAAGAAAATTGATCCAACACCATACAAAGTAGGTGTTAGAATTGGGCAACCCTTGACGAAATTTTTTTTAATGTAAAATTGAGCTTTTTCAAAAACTCAAAAAATCTGATTCAAATATTAGTCAAAAATGTTCACAGACAGAAATCGAGATAAAACATAATGTAATTACTATAATAATTCTTTCAAAAAAGGGGTTTGTAGTAAGAGAGTAAAAATTGAGCGTTCTATATGTTTTTATATACACATTATAAAAAAATAAAAATTGACCCAAAAAAGAAAGATAAATTCTTTGAGGTGGTTTCAATCAAAATATGCCAAAACCTTTCTGGAGATATACTTGAAAGTTTCTCAAATTTTCATGGCAATTGTATGTGTGAAATCATAAGACATATCAAGGAGACAGACATACATTTTTACATTTATATAAAGTAGAAGTTCCTTATTCGTCCATCCTTCATTTGAGTTTTTGCTATTCGCGGTTTCCAATATGTATCAAACCTAAAATTCTTTGCAAATGCCGTCATTTTGAACTTATAAAGAAAACTTTGCCATAAGTTGCCTTCGTCTGCCTTGGCCGTCTTCGCCGCTATCGGTGTTTTTGAGAATGCACAAATTTTGAAATAATTTGTGCGATTACTACATGATGTATATATGGAAAATATTATTTTTAAG